AAAATTAAAAAAAAAAATAAGCTAAAAAAAAAAAACAAAATTTTAAAAAAAAAAAAAAAAAAAAAAAACAAACAAAAAAAAAAACTCCCATTTTTTGATAAAATGTTTTTGCACAAGGACAAGTTGGTTTTTCAGCTGCATAGAAAGAGATCTATTTTGCAAAACTGCAATGGAGACATTTTTTTTGCATTGCACGAGTCACACAACTGACAGACGGATGTTACTACTGGCGAAAATCACAAAAAGACAACAGGAAGTGATAGGATAGGATAGTGATAGTCAGCGATCTATCACCTGAAGAACATTATGGTTAAAGGAATGTCTAGTGCCTTAGCAAAGTCTAGAGAAACTCATAGATGAGTTTAGTCTTATTTATTACTGCAACATAGTCTTTACAGGTCTGCCTAAGAAATCAAACCTCCAGCTGCAGCTGATCCAGAATGCTGCTGTTTGTGTCCTGACTAAAACCAGGAAAATAGAGCACATCACTTCACTCTCTTTTTCTGTCCCTCTTACCCAGTGTTTTTGGTCTAGTTTCAAGAGCAAATATCCTAAAACACTTGAAATAAAATAAAACTACAAGGAAGTTTTCAGCAAGATATTGGAGCTTGTTTTAAGTTAACAGAACCCTGGCAGATTCTCTCACTTATAACATGGGAAAATGTCTTGCTATAAGTGAAATAATCTGCCAGTGCCAGTAGTACTTTTTCATACATTTTAGGAAATTATTTTGTTCCTACATCTCACTGAAAAGTTACTTGTGAGTTTATTTTGTCTTATTTCAAGTGTTTTAAGATAATTAAACTAAAAGACATTTGGTAAAAATTTTGTATTTTTGCAGTGCATTCATCACTGTTTTTAAGTAGGCCCACTACTTTACACTGAATCTCTAATTTCTTACTGAAGTCCTATTTACTTTGGGCATTTTACTGTCATCAGTTGAGAGGTTTTACTCCATGCACTGTATTTAACTCATGCTAGGCTGCTAGTACCGATTAGACATCCACTAGTTCGGGTTGCTAGTGGAAACAAACATTTCATGTTGATTTAAACAATAAGAATAAAAGGGTTGGTAAAACCAGGGGATGCTTTTGTGCTGACAAATGATTTAGCTACAGTTCCTCTGTGCTGTAGAGTTCAGGACAAGAATTCAGTGAAAGTGGGAGGCTAAAGGAATGATTGGTAGAGACATTTTTACTGATATGATGATGAGATTTTGAGTTCTAAAAATAAAAGAGGTTAAAAACTGGCTAAATAACATCAGCCCTGGTTAATGTCTGCGACAAATGTGATGAAAAGCCCTGTGACCGGAGTTTTAATATGACAAAGAAAAACCTCCAGCTGCAGCCAGTTATGATCACTCAGCAGATATTGATTGGCCTTCTCAAGTCAAAAGACATCCCAGAGCCATTAGCAACACACATAAGCCTGTATGTATACATTTTGGCTCTGTTGGATTAGAGAAAACACTAAATAAATTCAAATTGGCCAGAACATTTGCGGTTGTAAACCAGTTCTCGCTGGAAGAAGAACAAGTCATTAAAAATCATTTTCATTCACTTCAAGTGTTAAATGTTCCTCAGAATAACACATCTATAATCATCAGATTTATATTTACAAGAAATGATCATCCATGAACTTCAAAGCAATGACACATTTTGTTCTCTGTAAAATATTATTTCCAACATCTGTCAGCAATGTGGCTTCTATCTGATCTACTTGTGATAATTCCTGCTGCACATGTCTGAAACTGTAGCGTCATTCCAGTATCCTCCTCTGCTGTGCCTCACTAAAGATTTTGCCTCACAATTTGCCGCATTTTTTTTATTTATTTTTTTTTATGTCCTGCTGCTTTTGTTTTGTTTTGTCGCTGAGTTACCAAGCGACAGCGATATCAAAGAGGCTCAGGGGCTTTCTTCTCTTTTGTTGATTCTTTGTCACATTTCAAATAATAAAAAGAAATTTAATATCGGACATAACTGAAACCAACTGAGACAATACGGGAGCACCAATTGCAGTTTTCTGACCAATCGCCAACATCATCGTTAAAAATTCTGACTTTTGTAAAATGTGCTTCCTTGGTATTCAATAATAATAATAATAATAATAATAATAATAATAATCCAAACCTACCGATTTTGGAAAAATATTTTTTTGTTGTTGTCTGAAAATAGCAACAAAGTCAGTAAGCTTACAACAGTGGCTATTGTTAACCACACTGTTGTTAGCTTAGCAACTTGGTTGCTATTTTCAGCACATTAAATTTCAATATTGCCACCTTCAACAAAATAATGTGTTTTCTTTTTTGCTAAAAATGATGATGATTATTTATTTATTTTTGCTGAAAACATTTTTTGAAAAGAAAGAGGTGGTGATTTTTTTTTTGTGTTTTTTTTTTTTGGACAAAATCAGTTTTGGCAAAACCCCCAGACATTTTGGAAGGTGAGGATATAACAGACATAGTTGTGTAGCTGTAAGAGGACAAAAAATGAAATAAAGAACTGTATCTCAAGCTTTTTTTGATACTCACATTAGACAAGCTTTTCATACTGATGGCAGTGACAGAATCAGAACCGGTCTGCTGACTCGTCCTAATGGCCTGAAGAACCTCTTTCAGCGTAGCCTCCAAGTCTGTCTTTGCTTTGGACAGCTCTGCCACTGTAGATTGACACACCGTGACACACATACAAAAGCAAACAAACGGCCCTCTGAGACAGTCAATATGCTGTTTACTAATTCAGTTCAACAGTGTCCTTTCTCTGAGAAAATCTCAAACTCACGTTGAGCCTGAAAATCGGACTTGTGAAGTTCAAGCTCCCTCTTCTTGCTGCTCAGTTCTTTCTCTAGGTATTCATTCTGCAATGCAAAGTTAACGTTAGAGAAATAGATATATGTAGTGAAATATACATATGGTGTTTTCCCCTCATTTTAACATCTTCTATAAGTCTGAGAGCTTCTGAATACAAGCCTGGATAAACCTAAAATTGCATCACAATATTTTGTGGTATTATTGAGATAAAAGTGACGGTGAAAATGATTTATTACTTGTTTGTCACTAACTGTGTGACTATGACCACATGAAATACAAAGGCTGTTCTTGAATAAGTGTGTAATGCTCTTTTTTCAGGACACCAGTCAGATAACAAGTGCAGTTCATATCACTAAGCTGCACACAGTAGCTCCATTAACTCATATTTTCAAATTTGCTGACATTTATCAACGTTCTTGATGAAAGAAATGATGGAGAAACAGTAAAAGCAACAATCCCAACAGTTCTTTGGGGAAAATAGGAATTTAAATATAATTAATTGGAATGATAAATCAAAAAATCTTTTATCGTGAAAATAAATTTATCACGATAAATGATGCAATAAATGCTCACACTACTTACACATCATCAGGTTTTTAAACACATCCTCTTTGAAGTTGTGATCTCCAAATAATAATCCTAACTCTACTCTGTTTTAACAGAGTAGAGCAGAGAGCAGATGTTCTAGTAATTCTGTCATTTATGTAAACAGAGACAATAATACAGATTTAAGGCATTCTACTAATGCGAGGCGGATTAACTTTGGATGACAAATGACAAATGAGCAAGAACTGATTCAAGTGGGAACTGAGAAGGTACTTCTGAATGTTTAGGCACTGAAATATGAACATAAATGAACAAATCTATTTTTTAACGAGACATATTTTGCCATAGGAAAAAAAAGTAATGAGTTTTACCTTTTGTCTGATCTTGTCGTCAGTGTAGATTCTTCCTTGTGCCTCTTCTTTTCTGCCAGACCAGACATCTTCCTGCAGCTGCACACTTGACTGTGGGATTCCAGCAGGCACAGCTGATCACCAGGAGCAAATGTTAAGTGGTTTAAGAGTCAAAATGAAAATTTTAAGCAGCTGTAGCACACTTCTTCTCAAAATTAGATGACTGCATCTTCATTTATCCTGTTTTTCCTAGAGATTCAGCTTCATGTTCTTCAAACACTCAGAACTCGTAACCTTCCCACATAGGATTCAGGTGCAGCTCCCTATGAACTGAAAGTTGCCATAAAATGTCCACATCACCACCACAGACATCAAACTTTTCATATATTTTTTAAAACTCGTCGAACAACCATCCATACCTTCCTTTCTATGCTGTAGTTATGCATGACTTTGTGTTCTACCACACGAAATTCCAATAAAACTTTATTGAAGCTTGTGGTTGTAATATGACAAGATATGAAAGAGTTAAAGGAGGTGCTGCACGGCGTATGGAATGTTAATGTGAAAACAGTGCAGAATCACGTTTTATTCTGGGTATTTCTTGTGTTTTGGAGTTCTGTATCCAAAAGAAAAGTGATAAAAGGGAGCACATTTTTTCAAAATGAGGCCAAAACTATTTTTAGACTTATTTTATAGCCTGTTGCTGGTTCTCAAAAACACTGAAGTTAACAAATGGCAATCAATTTAATGAACTAATACATAGAGGTGGGCTGAACGATCCAAAATATTGATAATACCCATACTAAATCTGTATCGAATCGATTCTACAGTGATGAGATTGATATTTTAGTTTCAGATTCTCTCTTGAAATCTTATTTAATTTTGTAATGCAGTTTCTCAACTCTACCATAAAAACAACTTTGCTTAGATTTTCTCTCAAATGATATGTTTTTTTTTGCACTTTATTTACAAAACAATTGACAAAAATTTGTCTAAATTAAGTATGAAGTCTTTGTAAGCAAAACTGTCCTTCAAATAAAAGGGGCTGGTTCAGACCAACCCAACTGAAGATTTTTGTCATCCAGTTTTTGGTAGAAAGAAAGAGAGAAAAGAGAAAGTAACAAATCGAGCAAATGGATATTATTGTGCTGGTTTTAATTTATCACGCAATTAATTGATTTATTTCGACAGGCCTATTAGGAAATGCTTTGCACTATTTAAATCAGGCCTTTCACCTTTTTCTTTCACCAAGCGCCTGATTTGTTTCTTCAGCTCCAGCCGCTCTTCTTCCAGTCGCTCAATCTGAAAAGAAATCCATCGGCGTGTTGACATGAGGCCTCTCTAGCACTTCTAACAGCAACAGTCTGATCTCCTTTGAACGCAGCCTTACCTCTTTGGCAAGAACTTGGTTTTCGGCTTTGTACTGGCGCTGCCTGAGATCCCTGGCGCGCCTGAATTCTGTCAGATCCACTTCCTGCTTTGGCTCCAGACCTGCTCGCAACCGGAAAATCCCACCAAAAAAAGAACTCGTTAGAAATTTCCCCGTCTCAGATGAGCCAGCGTTGTCTAAACAGATGGAATACAGTGGTGTTTTTAAAAACTCTGACCCAGTTTTTCCCGGAGCTCCTCGTTTTCATCCATGAGGTCATTGATTCTCAGCTCGAGCTGGTTGATCTCTTTGGTCATGGCCTCTGCCTCACGATCTCTCATTCTAATTTGATTGTTACACTCTTTGATCTCGGCAATGGCTGCTTCCAAGCCGTAAGTGCCCTGCCGTACAGAAACAGCACTGTGATTTGTTGTCCGTCAAAAAAATAAATAAAATAAAAAGGCACATCTTGTCTCACTTTTGTTTATTTCCTTCTTTTTTGGGGGGGGAGGAAGTAAAAGGGGTGGGAGTCAGGGTGAGAGCTTAACTTTGGTGAAAAAACAAACAAACAGTACGCTTGTGGACCCAAAAAGCATGTTGATCATGCCACAGTCACATAGGTGTTTTAACATCCCTATTTAAAAGATGGTGAAAAAGAAAAATCACAGGCCTTATTTCTGGGAAATTAGGAGTCAGTTAATTCAATTTGGATAAAAACAAGTCTCGGAAGCTGAGGCCAAAAACAAAGGCAGGAACAAAAAAAAGGTATTTGTGGACTTACAGACTCGTACTGGCTCAGGCGATTTGACGCCTCAATAAAGGCTTTGTCTTTTTCCTCAGCATGTGATTCTGCCCGTCTGAAGGCCCGCTCTGCTTCCGTCGCTCTGGCCTCCGCCACTTTCAGTTTAGACTGCAGCTCCTCCATCTTCCTCTGCTGTAACGTCGAAGGAGCACCTGAGACAGAAACATGTTATTAAATTACATTTACCAGTCAAACACTGTTAAAAATCCAAGTTAGTAACAAGTTCACATAAGCCCATCAGAAGTATGATTGTTAGAATTGCGGCTTTTAAAGATGTTTTTAACTGTTCCCTTTTCAGATTGGAAAGCTTCTACAATAATATTTATAAACTAGTGGTGGAACTCGATTTAAAATGTTTAATTAATTGTTAATTGTAGGGTTTGTATTAGTTAGTTGCAATTAGTCGACTAATTAGGCAAAATTTTCATTTCCAAAATTCCTTTCTGCTGCTAAATTCTTGAATAAATAGACATATTAGCTCAACAGCAAAGATATTAATGTTTTTAATCTGTTATTTAGGCTTTTCAACCATCAGGAAGGTGCAAAGTGGTGTTATATCCATTCAGTTTTCAAGTGTATCTTTAGAAATGTGGACTCTGGGTGCTAACATTAGTGTTGGAGACGTCTGTGGTGCTGCAACATGTTTAGCATTGAGATGCCATTTTAGGCTTGGATAGCTTCACTAAGGCTAACTCCTTTTAGGACACTACAATAGTCCTTCCCACTGTCTAACCAGACCGTATTTTGACGGAAAAATGAACTAAGAGAACTAATGACTAATAACTAAGAGAAGCGGCCTCATTGTCCATCATTGTTGTTTGCGGATGTCGCTTTTCTGCATCAAATTTAGAGTCATACAAGAAAAGCAGTAAAACAAGGATTCCCATGATAAAATTTTCAATGCATTAAAATCTTTGCAATCAATAAATCAAAATTAATGTGTTAAAAGTCCTGGACTTAATTTACGTACAATTTGATTAACCTCGTAGTCCTGGAAACTGTTTGTGATCAAAAAAACGTTCCAACTTTTGTATATCCGCAATCCTCATCCTTTAATCTTCACAGCTCCCCATGATGATATTCGCATCATGGGTAGCAGCCAATTCAATAAATTCTATCAGGCAAATCTTTTTTATGCCGGCAAAAAAAAAACTAAACGTTGCATTCAACATATGGTCACTAGCTATATGTTCATAAGCTGGAACTTTAAGTACAATCAATCAGGAGATTAGTGTGAATGTTTGTAAGCCTGTGGAGATTAGAGAAAATCTGTTGGTAAATCAAACTTGTTCACAGAGTTTTGGTTTTTAAACAAACTGAATATTTTATAACCATGTCAGTTCAAACAAATCCTCAGATGTCAAAAGTTAAAATGACATTTATGCCCATGACCAAACTACAACTGTACACTTTCATTTAGTAAAAGCCTGTACTTCACTTTATTTTTATTATTACACTAACAATCACCTTATAGAGGCAGATTTCTTTTACCATTTGGCAATGGAAGTATTATCAGGTTTGTGAGTGATGTTTTCACTTTGTAAAGTTGATATTTTCGCTAATAGTTCCAACATATAAACCCTACAAGCACAGGAGCGTTAGCATCCATTTGCCTCTGCCCCTCTCCCAGCCAACGAGGATTTTGACCTACATTCTGCCTTGTCAGCTGTGTTTTGGTCTGTACCGCTTTCTGAAGGAAACATCTGGCTTTTTAAACATTTAGAAATCTCTCGGCTGAAGGCAGCTAACTTTGCGTGACAAGAACGCCAATCGGAGAGGCAAGGCTAAACCGGCGTGGCGAACCGTGAAACCAAACTAGTGGCCTGTAACTTATCACATCTATCACTGTCATTCCTAATAGAAAGTAAAAATGCTTTTTATGAATATTTTTGTCCATAAGCTGAAAAAACTTTTCAAGCAGCTATAATTCTTTTATCTGGTATCTCATGAATAACATTTTTGTTTCTAACTGAAGTCATGAAGCCAACAACTAAAACAAGACATTTGATTGGTCAGTTTAAACACAGACCTCTATCTTTGTTTGTGGACATCTTCAGCTCCTCTATGAGCCGAGCGTGCTTTTCCATCTCTCCTGTGTACTGCTCCACCTGCTCGCTCAGCATCTTGATCTGATTATCTCGCTCCTGGACGGCCTATGGGGACATTCACAGACATTTCTGAATAATGACAGCTTAGCGACGGACTAAACAGGTTTGTAACTCGCCTCGCTGTGGGCGCTATGAGGCAACTTCTAAGACGAAAACAAGCAGAGACACGTGACGGATGGAACTTACACCACAGAGTTCATATATGACCTGGGCCAGAGCAGCGACAGAGAAAGAAGGGAGGACAGGTGGATGAGAATAAAAAGATGAAAATGAGGTAATGATGCAGGCAAAACAAGAAAAGAAGCCAAAAACTGGAAAATGGAACAAGCTGACATGTGCACAAACACAAAGTTTTCCATAGCAAACCTACCCGACATTTTATAACCACCTAATTCTACATATTTTATACATACTACTTGGGACGTTCCGATTGCAGTTTTCTGGCTGATCACTTATTTTAAAACACCTGACCTGCCAACTTCAATTTTGGCCAATACTGTAATTTTTTGTCTGAATAGTCAATAGAGCAACAAACTTACTAAGTTGCTAACAGTGGGGTGGGGTGGATATTATTAACTGAACATGTCCAGATGTGACTTTTAGGTCAGGTTTGTCAGTCAAACTTCTGTCACAGAAGACTGATGTTCAGACCTTTCTGTCGGTAAAAAATATCAGAGCATAAGATCCGTTATACATGTCAGACTGTTGATCACCCAAAATCAAGGAAATCTGGCCCAATTTATTGGTGCACCAATAATATATGTAATTTTTTTGTGTGTGTTTTTATTGTACACTTTTGTTGAAGGTCATACCAAGGTCACCATCTTCAAAAAAAAAAAAAAAAAAAAAAAAAAAAGGGGGCCAAAAAAAAGGGGGGACCAAAAAAAAAAAAAAACTTAAAGAAAAAAACAAAATTTC